CCATCACAGGACACACTCACTCACACACACTGGACAGGACACCAGGCCATCACAGGACACACACACACCCTGGACAGGACACCAGTCCGTCACAGGACACACACACACAAGTTTTCCCCAGAAGCCAGTTAAACCAGCCTGTCTCTGGACTGTGGGATGAAACCAGAGCCCCGGGAGATAACCCACACCCACATGGAGGGGGGAACATGCAGACTCCACACAGACAGCGCCCGGGTCAGTGATGGGACACAGGGCCCCAGGGCCCCAGGGCTGTGAGGCAGCAGCGCTGACCGTTGTGGAGTGACAGGAGCGAAAACGAAAACCAACCAGCTGGCGCAAGGCGAGAGACGCCACCGCCTCTGACCCGCCGGGCCGCCAAGAGCAGAGCACGAAAAACTCACAGACGACCACCACAAACCATCGTGACTTTTTAGAAAAAGAAAATAAAGTTTATTGCGACTGGCTCCGAACAACCAAACAGCAGGGAAAGTCACAATAACAAGAATAATTATCATCATCATCATCGTCGTCGTCGTCGTCATCTCTATCGTCACGACAATAAAACCGACAGGCATGAAAGCCGAGGAGGACCCGAGGGCCGCGCAACTTCTCGAAACTGAACAAAGAAACGAAACCGAACTAAACCGAGGGGCACGGACACGGGAGAACCAGGACCAGGAGGGGAGAGCGGACCGGAACCCAGCTGCTGCTGCGGAGGGGGGGTCGGGGGTCGGGGGTCACCGCCGGCGCCCATCCAGGCGACCTCCGGAGGTACGCGCACCTCCGGAGGCGCGGATTAACCCACCGATCGGCGCACGCGCACACACACAGAGAGAGAGAGCCGCAGAACGAGTTCACTCCCTACGCCAACCAGAGCGTCTGTCTGCCGCAGGGCGCTCCGTTGTCTCTCTCTCTGTGTGTGTGTGTGTGATCCCTGATTCTGATCGACCTGACCTCAGGGCTAGGTGTGGCGCTCAGATCCAGCAGTGTGTGTGTGTGTGTGTGAGTGTGTGATCCCAGATTCCGATCGACCTGACCTCAGGGCTAGGCATGGCGCTCAGCTCTAGCAGGGTGTGTGTGTGTGTGTGATCCCAGATTCCAATCGACCTGACCTCAGGGCTAGGCATGGTACTCAGCTCCAGCAGGGTGGGGGGGTGTGTGTGTGTGTGTGTGTGTGTGTGTGTGTGATCCCAGATTCCCATCGACCTGACCTCAGGGCTAAGTGTGGCGCTCAGCTCCAGCAGGGTGTGTGTGTGTGTGTCACTGGAGAGAGAAAGACGCTGGGGGTGGGGAGAGGGAGAGGGAGTCTCCGTCAGAGGTGATGCGCCCGCCTGTCTCTTTACTCGCCCCCTCCCCTCCTGTGCGGCCCCCCCTCCGGCCCGCGGGGCGGCGCCCTGCCCTAGCGGATGGCCTTGACCGGGCTCTTGAAGCTGCTGGCCGCCTGCAGCTGGAGCTGGTAGGCCATGGGGTGGATCTTGAAGCCGTACAGCCTGGCGGGGGGAGAGAGAGAGAGAGAG